TATCATTAATACTGTTATTATTTTTACTATTAAATATCGAATCCATAATATTGTTATTTCTCTTTCTATATATAACACAATCCTTGGCAAATACTTTACTATTGCCAAACACAAAGCACACCTCTTTTATTCTACTCCTAATAGTACTCTTCTCAATCACAACCTCTATAATATTTACAATATTTAGAATATACAACTTCAACACCATATTAGCAATTTTTTTATCTAACACTTCTACTCTTAATACAACAACTTATATCTGACTCTAACAATAGCAAAAGAATCTTTGGTCTACTACTAATATTCTTTAACACCTCTATCCTATTATTGATGACCCAAATAAATATTCTACAACTTTTAAAATTATACAACTTCTTAATTACTTATATATTTCTATATACTTATATCTTGATACTTTTTGGCCCAAAACTATAAATAGCAACAATACTCCACTTGAAAACATCCTCTCTAACCACCCCAAATACAACATCTTTAAACAACAACTTTGATATAAAAATATTCTTTATCTTGAATAACTTTGTTTATCTGACAACAATACTCTTTTAGACTGATAATATCTATCTTCTATATTTCTAAAGAGAAAAAACCACTTTGATTTACTCATCTAGAAGATACTATTCTTGATAACAAACTATTTTAACCAACTTCTAACCTACTGGTATTAACTTATTTATTTTTCAAACTAATTTATTTTTCAAAACTCACAAACTCTAGATTTTTACATATTTTAATGAAGATATTATTATCAGTCAAGTCCACAGAACCTTTTTCCAAACCAATACTATTTTAATAATACACTAGTAACACAATATTAATACTTCAATCTTATATTACTACCTATTACTTTTTATCGCTTGCACTTTTTGGCAAGGCTGCAGCTTTAAGTCTAACTGCATATTAAGCTATTGTATTCTAGATGTATTTGCTAGTCTTTTTATCTAATTTTTAGGCAGAAGAAAAGCAAACAAACAGCTCAACTTTAATGCCAACTATATTGACCTTATCCATTTTACTAACATTAAATGCTCTTCTAATATACTACTGTATCTACTATTAATATTACTAATTCTATTATCTTAGCTATCTTTCAGAACAATAATATCTCTCTACAACTTGCTTAGTTTGCTTTTGCTAATTTGTTCAAAAACTAATTTACTCTCTACACAGATTGTTTAGTTAAACAACTTGGCACAAATTAATATTCAATAGGTATTGGCTAAGTCTAAGTTTATAACAACTATGTTATTTACAATTTCTCTATACAGATTTCCAACTAACTTTCTTCTTACAAAGCTGAACTACTAGTGATACTATCTGCTATTTCAACACTTTTCTAAAACTCTAATATTAAAATATTCACAGACTTATAATTAATTATCTTCAAATATAACAAGCTTCTATTTATATTATTACACTTCTCTAAATATTTTAAATTTAACTTCTGGCCTATCTGGCACATACTTCTTAATATTTTAAAAGTCTTTAATATACAAATCTTCTTCTATAAAGTTCAATCATACTTTAACAACCCTTTAACAATCATGCAAACTTACTTGGTAACAATTATTTCTCTTCTCCAATTTTATACTTCAACTATACTAATTTTTATAATCTATAGTATACTCTAATCTACGATGAAAAGAATGTTTTGTCAAAAGCCCTACTAGACAATTTATTAAAACAATTTGCAAAGCACACACTATTGCCTCAAGAATAGTTACTTTTTTCTTACTTAATCAACTAGAAAGCCATCTAGTTATACTTCAACAACAATCAAAAAATATTACACAACTTTACCAGCCCTACTTAAAAGCCTTCAAAATCAAACTGCTTCTTAATATACTACTAACATATGCATACTTTTATTTTATATACCCTTTTATATTTACACTTGATAATTGCTTCTCCTGTAACTATCCAGATACTCTCTCTTACTAGTTTACTTTTCTTGACAATACTCTTTTAACTCAAACTATCAACTCCTCAATACATACTATATTTACTTAAAATAAAGCACAGATGCATTATTTTAAAAATTGCATTTTCTTAAAATAGTATAGTTGATTTCAAAATAATGCCCATGTGCATCAAGGAATAATGCACTCTCCACATGGCAAACTAATAATCTGTTGAAATAATGAATTGTAATAACAAGTAGGAGAAATTTGACTTAGATCAGAAAAGCTGTATATAAAATTAAGAAATACTAGTTTGTTATACTTTGCACATATATTACACATTAATTTTGTAGAAATTAGACCTTTACTCCAAAATAATATCTATGTGTATATTTGAAATAATGCATATCCCCTTGAAATAATATGCAGATATGCATTATTTTGAATAAATACAGTAATATTATTTTTAACTCTAATCTCAATTTTTTTGCATACCAACTCTACAACCTTATACATACTATCTTCTCACATCTTTCTTTTAATTCTTCACTGTTATCTCTTTATCCTTATTCTTTTTACTCTACACTTAAAGGTCTTATTTCAATACTATTGCTCCAGACTCTAGATTCCTTTAATGTCTTATACTCTAATGCTTCTTAACTTATTATACAAATATTTCTTAAAATCTCTAATGAGTTATATTACAAAATATAGATTCTCTACTGTATTAACTTTTTTAACTAGAAAAAGCACATTAAATTCTCTCTCAATCTACCTTTAATACAATATCTAATTTATTCATACCTTCTTCACACAAAAGAACAAACCTAAATATACTTATAACTACTTTGTGGCTTTGCCAACCAACTATATTCTGAATCTAATACTTGCTCTCCTCTAGAACAAGTATCTACCAAACTTAATATCTGGTCTACTATGTGAATTAGATATAGCACATCTACTAACAGTATCCTAACTATTCAAATCTAGATAAGTTTTGACCACTCTAGTAGGTTTAGATTGCAGATAATTAGTTTAAGCTTTAGTTTGAGCTTTTAGTCTGAGCTTTTATTCTTGCATATAATTTAAATTTATTTGTTTTTGTACAAATTAAGCTTTTATATCTATGTGATTGCTTATATAAATTAATCAATAAAGATATAAGCAAGACCTTACCTTAATACCAAAAAAATAAAAAATAAATAAATAAATCAATTATACTGTAAATAAAACAATAAAAAAATTTAATTAAAAAAAAAGTATTAATTAAAAATAAAATAAATAAAAAATTAATTTATTAATAAAAATAAATTAATTAAGAAATAAAAACAATTAAAATTTTTTAATTTAAAAAAATAATTTAATTAAACCAAAATTTTAATTTTAAAAAAATAATAAAAATTAAAATAAATAAAAAATTAATTTATATTTTAATTTGAAATATTGATTTAAAAAAAAATTAATTAAAAAAAAAATTAAAAATAAAAATTAAATATTAATTAAAAATTAAAATAAAAAAATAATTAATTGAAAATTTTTTAAAAAAATAAAAAAATTTTTTTAAAAAAAAAACAAATAATAGATAAACCAATTTGGGTAATATAAATCCAAGCTAGATTTATTTAAATCAAAGCTAGGTTAATTTGAACCCAAGCTGGGTTTACTTAAACCCAAGCTGGGTTTACTTAAACCCAAGCTGGGTTTATTTAAACCTATGCTGGGTTTATTTGAACCCAAGCCAGATTCCTTTTGAACTCAAGTTGGATTTACTTTGAACCCAAGTTGGGTACTTGTTGAATCTAAGCCAGGTTCTTTTTGAAACTAAATTGGTTTCTTTTTAAATCCAAGTTAGGTTCCAAAACCTAAGGTAAAAAAAAAAAAAAAAAAAAAAAAAAAAAAAAAACATAAACCTCATGCCCGGGTCCTAAGATCTAGTTCAAATTAAGTGTAAAAATCACAAATTGTGTATCGCAATAATTTTCACTAATTTTATTTTGTTTGTTGTATGCTAATTTTAATATTTTATTACCGATTTTTAAATTATAATTCACAAATAATCTATTGGCAAACAATCAAACAATATATACATATATATATATAAATGTACTAAACAAGATCGCAATAAATTAATTTAAAAATAGGCGTACATATAATCACATACAAAATCTATTGGCTCCATTAGATACTCCTCCATGCCCCAAACAAAAGCTTTCAGTTTACTCAAAAATTATGGTATTTCATGAATTTATTATCATAATGCGTACTATTTTTATACTTAATCACACACATATGGGTACAGAAAAAAAAAAGTGCTAGCTAGTTACAAATGCAAGAAATTAATAAAAAAATTGTTTTTACAATGATTGAATGCAAGAAATTAATAAAAAAATTTTTTTACAATCTTTTTAATATCATATTACATTTTCCGATTTCTTGAGGAGATATATCGACATCCGAACTAAATCCATCTGTAAATTCTTCTGATATTCTTATAGTGTGTTCACTATTAACAAGCTCAACTTTAGCCTGTCCCATATCATCACCACCCGTATAGTTTGATATATATATTAAATTTGTGGAAAAATTATGTGAAAAGAGTGTATTATTTATATCCCTTGTATTATTAGCTTGACCCATTTTATTACTATTAGAACTACCTATCAAGGGATCAGATAAAGTTGATGGATTTGCACAATGAGATAATAAATCTAATGAGGAAGAATCTTTTAAATGAACAGGCTCGGGAGGAACTAAATTTATATCTTGATCGTTATTTTGATTGTCAAGAGTTATATCCTGCTTTAGATCGTCCTTTCTAAAGAAGGCAGAAGAGATATTAGTCTTATTTCCAGCACAAGAATCGATCAGTGATAAGAATTCAGGTGAAACTTTTGGAGCCGAAAAGAGTTTAATCAACAGCATGTATCTTAACCATTCTAAAAGAGAAGGTTTTAAAACTAAATTATTATTGTTATTATTATGATTATTATTGGTATTAATATGATGATTATTATTATGATTGTTATTAATAATATCATCATTGATAACATAGCCATTGATAATATCGTCATAGATAATATCGTCATTGATAACATCATCGCCTTTAATGATATCAACCTTATTGCGATTTAGAGTCTTCAATTTAATAAAATCGATTGATTTTCCTAGCGTGCTAATTTCATCAGTAATGGATTTGTTGTGGGATAGATGAGGATAGTAATACTCATAAGAGTTAACATTGTTGATCCACCAATGTAGTTTAACAGCTTGGAAAGCACGAGTAACAGCAATATCTTGGGAAAATATTAAAGCATTCAGCAATCCTAAGGTGTAAAATATTTATTTATTAAATAACAAGATAATCATTATAATAATAAAACGCATATAAAACATATATATACCTTGAATTGACATGCCAATAGTGCAAAGTAAAAGTAGAGGATAAGATACTACACGATTAACATAAGCATAAGTTTCGAGGAAAGAGTTACAAATTTGAGCTACCAATGGCACCACAGGATACCACACAACCCTTCTGACAACAGTAGTAATCACGGATTTATTAATTAAGGTGGGAGAACCGGATAACCGAGAAGTCGGAGAATTAAACTTATAATCAACATTTTCTTTCACAGAACTGAGTTTTATAACGACCATAATAACAACGATCGCACAATACAATATGGATATATCTATCCAACCGAAAAGAGTAACCCATTGCCATATTATATTATATTCTTCACCCGAATCACGATACCAACAGCTTCTGTAATAAATATTAATAAATATTAATAAATATGAATATATGAAATAAAATATGAAGACGAGAAGAGAAAACCTGTAGTTCTAAAAATAGATTAATATGAGTTTAACCCCCTAGCGCACCCACAAAAATTTTCCCCTTCCGTGATTTTTGGCCAATCAAATTTCAAGATAAGGTGTAACGTAAACAAACGAAGCGAAACCATTTTTTACAAATAAACTGAAATAACTCGAAATTTTAATTAAGAAACCATCTTCTGCGGCCTAATTAAAAATGTTCCTTGTGAAATTTTACTAATAGCAATAACCTAACTCTAACCCTAACCCTACACTGTTCTCGCTCTAACCCTAATTATAACGCGGTTTTATAAATCACAGGTGGGTGCGCTACCTAAAATATCATCTGATCGGACTTTTGGTGGTCGTCCTGGCGCACTCTTAGACGGTCCCTCAGTGAGGAAAATCCAAAATGTTTGTTTATTTATTTGGTAGATTTCGTCTAATACTGTAATAACCATAGAAGTCCTTTTTGCCGTTTTTTTTAAAATACACGTGTTTTAGGATTGATTTGTGCGACTGATAACTGTTATGTGTAGATTCGGAAGTCATTTTTCAAAAAAAAAAAAGGATATTTAACATACTTTTAACCTATAAATAAATACATAGATAGCATAGTTCTACTATTTAATTTAGATACAAGTTAAAAATGGCATTCTTATGAAATGCTGATTGTTAAATTGATTAGCATATTGGTATTCATCAATCATTTTTAAATTCAAAATTTTATTTTATAAAGTAAATGTAGACGAAGTGAGAGAATGTCTAAAGAATAAAGTATTTTTAAAAAATTTTTGCATTATAAAATTCGTACATAAGTGATTCAGAAGTTTGATACTTTCTTACCAGTTAAAATATTACGATATGACAAAATACTTGAATGAAAACCAAATTCAGGAAGGACAAATGCGGTAAGCCTATATAAAAAATAACATTGATATCATAGATGAATAAATTTCATATAATTGTTTACGAGAAAGTCAAATGGTGGAAATATATTCACTTTTAATTTTCTTTATTCATTTATCAGCAATGTGCGTATATCTAGCGTCAAGATATTTTAATTTCTTATTGGCAATTGTAGATTTGCGAATTGTAACTAAGGTGAGAAGTTCGCATAGACCTAATTAACATTTTTGTCTGGATATTAATGTTATTTTACAAGGTTGTGACTATATCAAGAATGATTATAGTGAGATTTGGCTGTATTCATAAAATTGAATGTATAATTTTAATTAAATGCTTAATATAAAATTATTATTTATGCTCACAATTTAAATGAAATTATGAAAGTAAATATTCGTAAAGTTGAATCTTATTTTGCTCACGATAAACTAACGCGAATAAAATTAAGTTGTGAATATTCATGAACGTGAATAAATGTTTTATACTCTTAATACGATTTAAAATATAACTTAAATGGCTTGTTTAAATTGATAAATGCTTAAAAAATTAAATTAACACGAGATTTTTTCAATAGAATTTTTACTATGCTGAATTATAAATCGGAAAATAAAATAAGATTTTCTGATTTTAACTTTGAAACCCCTAATAGTAAAAGTTGTGAACTTGAATATTTATCGTTATTTATATGCTTGGATTAATACCGGTAAATGTTCTTTATTCTTATGCACTAAATTACTATATAACTAATAAACAAAATTAATACAGTAGTAAATTTTTCATAACTTAAATAACTTATAAATATTTAAATATTTATAGACCTGAATAGCTTAATGATTAATAAATAACTTCATATTCACTTGACTAGGTTAATTTATAGTATAATAAGGGTAACAAAATTAAGCAATAACACGTAAGTAATTTATCTCAGTTAAAATAGGCGTTACATGGGTGCTCCAGGGGAAGTCGGTGGGTACACCATATTTCCTAATGTTGATCCTATTTATTAAAAAGATAAGTGTTAAAGAGGAGCTTAGAAGGAAGGCATTGAAATAAGGGCTGTTATTGGAAATCGACTTATCGCTAATATAGTTGAAACTTATATAATTAGTAAAAATTATAATTTCGTTTAACTCTCTCCCCTTCTCCACTTCCAAGGGCTCTCTAAAGTTTTGAGATTTCAATAAGCTACGTGTTTGTAAATTAAACAATGTTATATAGAGTTAAATTGATCCCCTTTCTTCACTGCACTTCGCTTAACTGTATAAAAAAACCATAATAAAATGAAAACCATTTTTGCTTATATTAATATATAAACTTAATGAAGTAATGAATTGAGGCAGTTGGAATTTTCAATGAAGCATAAAACTATGCAGTATATTTGTCTCTAATCGTTGCCATTTATACATATGTTTTGATCATGTAAAGCACTTTTATAGATTTCATCTTCTGTTATATTTCCTTTCTGATTAAAACAGGATGAATTTTTCACTTTGAATTCCAAAAAGTACTGGTAGTAGTTTTCCCTAGCACCTTATTCGTTATTAAGCAACCCGATTGCCATATTTTCATGTGCAGACCAGATATTGTTAGTAAAGAGAGAGAAAGAACTTGAACTAGTAATAAATTTATTATTATTACAAAGTTAAAGTTTAAATTCTCAGAATCAGCTTAATTCAAAGGTTTGAAAAAAAATATATAGTATCGATATTGTTATTAAGTATTGATTCGTCCAATCAGAAAATTTTATAGTTCGAGTAGAATCTCATTTTTTAGTGACAAATTTTGTTCGCCATGGCTAGAGTACTATATTCTCAGGAATCTCACTCAATGGATCGGGGTAGGATGTCCAGAATTCTGCAATTTTATCCACTATTTCATAATTGTACAGATTTTCGCAGCTGATCCGGCCGGTATTGTTAATATTATTTGGTAGCTTTATGCAGGAATTTTTAATTGGTTTAAGGCAATCGTCAAGTGTTTCGGGCCAATAATTAGCTACGCTTCAATTCTGCAAATTCATATTATCAATAAAAAGCGAACCAATCGAGGTATATTATTTAATTGCAGATTTTGCAAATTCTGCAAATTCAGTGAATTCGGAAAATGCATAGCAAAATTTGCAGAATTTCTGATTCTGGACAGCTTAAATTAGAGGCGAAAGTCTAATAATTGGAAACAGAATAGAATAGATAAGCTAGTTATCATTTCGATGAATAAAATATGGAGGTGCAGACGTTTTCTTTTTCACAAGTTACTCTGGTAGCTAAAATTCAAAATCCGTGTTTCGCACAATGAATTTTCGGAAAGAACGCTACGATTAATCATAATAACCGCTTCAAAAACACATTAGCAAGTTATATTGAGGGAACTACTTGAGAACACCCTAAGCCAACTTTTAATTGAGTCAAACCAGAACAAATATTGAGAGTTTATAAATGAAAACATATAAAGCAATATACTGATATAAAAACTAAAGATATAAAACTAAAGATATAAAAGCTAAATTTATTTGAAGTAACAGTTAATTAACCACAGAAATTGCACCAATTCTTGTGCAAAATTTAAAAAAAATTGAACATTTTCGCTTAATAAAATATTCAAGTGCAAATTCATAAAGTTCTTCCGATTTAATCTGTACGTACTGTACATATTGATACAGGTGACCCTCGTTAATATCAACCCATTTGAACCTGTTCAAAATTATGTTGATAGTGATATTAACGAAAAT